ACCCAAATGGCTTAGTGGTAATGTCTCAGATTATGAATTTGTATGATACAGAGAGAGTGAGCTTCCACATGATTACAAGTGCACCTCGTTAATGAGTACCAAATAGAGAAAAACTTAAATTAGCAGTTTCGGGACAACCACTTAAAACCACCTAACTAAAAGGAGCTTTACTTGTTTCTATGTGGACTGTTTACTATATACAGCCGTAAAGAAGTGAAAGCATTCAGACTAAGTGTTAAAATCATTCCAAGATTAAACGCAATTTAAGAAGAAAATATTTGAGATTGTTTTAAGTAAAATATGTTCAACCCCCTTCACGCGTGACTTGAAATAAAAAGAGAATTAATGTCGCACAAAAGACTATAGAAAAATCTTTAGTAAAACCCTAGCTATATAGATAGTTAATTGTTTCAAACTGTAATCGAGAAAGTTGTCCTTAGTTTACTGAAGATTGTAAATTGAATGACGTATTGCAAGATAACGATATACCCATAAGTAATCCAGAAAGATTCGAAAACAATAATGCTCAGTATTTTAAAGAATGATGAATTATAATATTCTGAAAGCAAGTTGTCAGTCTTTTACTTTAGTATTTATTACAAATTCAACAGTTCCAACTGATTGATATGAAAAATTTGAAATGATGATTTGCAGCCGGTGTCGTTGCAGTCACAAGAAAAGGTATCATGATGAGCTGATTTAATACTTGTGAAATGAATAAACAGCTATCTTCTACATGAAGTAAACCCTGATAATATCCAAAACAACGATGAAAGTTTGTCAATTAAGCAATCTGTGTCAGAGAACTTGATAACATCATAAAGTGTTGAAACGTTCAATGATCATCATATCGTATTGAATGGTAACCCGTAATTCTGTCGGTACAGATCACTCAGTTTAAGTGAAATTTTTACGATACATGAAAGAGTTTATACAGATTACAGAATTAGGAATTTTCAGTTACTCTTTATGGCTAAAAATATAACAACTCAACAAAAACTATTTGACGCCTATAAGAACTAGCAACCACACTATTACAGTCCTTGTTTATGAGAGTAAGTGCATTTCCAACTGTTCCATTTAGTTCTAAAGAGTAATAATCACCGTTCTTAGTTTGTTTTTAATATTTTCCTTTTGATTAACTCATTCTTTTTTTCACTAAATCACATTATTATATTTAGCTGAATTTCCAATCCGATGAAGTGATTAATAAATGAACTGAGAAGTTAAAGTCCCTTAAGTTCAGTATATTTCTTTATTCTGCAGTCTTCAAGACTAAATGCTTTCTTTTAAGTTGCAGTGTAATGAACGAGAACACAGGTGAGGACAACCAATTGTATCGCAACTTAGAATTACAGAGCTCTCTAGTCAAATGTGTAAACGACACGTTCAATACTTCATTTATAAATTATCTATCAATTGTCTTAAATTTAATTGTTCCTTCATTTCCGTAATAATTACTATCTGGTCCCGTTCTCTTCGATCTGATCTTCCCAACTTTCTGCATCCAAGTATTCCATTTCTGACTGGTGTTATATGCTACTTATGTCGATATAAGTAGCATATAACACCAGTCAGAAATGGAATACTTGGATGCAGAAAGTTGGGAAGATCAGATCGAAGAGAACGGGACCAGATAGTAATTATTACGGAAATGAAGGAACAATTAAATTTAAGACAATTGATAGATAATTTATAAATGAAGTATTGAACGTGTCGTTTACACATTTGACTAGAGAGCTCTGTAATTCTAAGTTGCGATACAATTGGTTGTCCTCACCTGTGTTCTCGTTCATTACACTGCAACTTAAAAGAAAGCATTTAGTCTTGAAGACTGCAGAATAAAGAAATATACTGAACTTAAGGGACTTTAACTTCTCAGTTCATTTATTAATCACTTCATCGGATTGGAAATTCAGCTAAATATAATAATGTGATTTAGTGAAAAAAAGAATGAGTTAATCAAAAGGAAAATATTAAAAACAAACTAAGAACGGTGATTATTACTCTTTAGAACTAAATGGAACAGTTGGAAATGCACTTACTCTCATAAACAAGGACTGTAATAGTGTGGTTGCTAGTTCTTATAGGCGTCAAATAGTTTTTGTTGAGTTGTTATATTTTTAGCCATAAAGAGTAACTGAAAATTCCTAATTCTGTAATCTGTATAAACTCTTTCATGTATCGTAAAAATTTCACTTAAACTGAGTGATCTGTACCGACAGAATTACGGGTTACCATTCAATACGATATGATGATCATTGAACGTTTCAACACTTTATGATGTTATCAAGTTCTCTGACACAGATTGCTTAATTGACAAACTTTCATCGTTGTTTTGGATATTATCAGGGTTTACTTCATGTAGAAGATAGCTGTTTATTCATTTCACAAGTATTAAATCAGCTCATCATGATACCTTTTCTTGTGACTGCAACGACACCGGCTGCAAATCATCATTTCAAATTTTTCATATCAATCAGTTGGAACTGTTGAATTTGTAATAAATACTAAAGTAAAAGACTGACAACTTGCTTTCAGAATATTATAATTCATCATTCTTTAAAATACTGAGCATTATTGTTTTCGAATCTTTCTGGATTACTTATGGGTATATCGTTATCTTGCAATACGTCATTCAATTTACAATCTTCAGTAAACTAAGGACAACTTTCTCGATTACAGTTTGAAACAATTAACTATCTATATAGCTAGGGTTTTACTAAAGATTTTTCTATAGTCTTTTGTGCGACATTAATTCTCTTTTTATTTCAAGTCACGCGTGAAGGGGGTTGAACATATTTTACTTAAAACAATCTCAAATATTTTCTTCTTAAATTGCGTTTAATCTTGGAATGATTTTAACACTTAGTCTGAATGCTTTCACTTCTTTACGGCTGTATATAGTAAACAGTCCACATAGAAACAAGTAAAGCTCCTTTTAGTTAGGTGGTTTTAAGTGGTTGTCCCGAAACTGCTAATTTAAGTTTTTCTCTATTTGGTACTCATTAACGAGGTGCACTTGTAATCATGTGGAAGCTCACTCTCTCTGTATCATACAAATTCATAATCTGAGACATTACCACTAAGCCATTTGGGTGGCGACGGGCGTTGAGCAAAACTGAGATATTTGCAAATGAGTGACCAATCCTCAGTGATTGATCAGTTATAGATCTTCATTTTTAGTTATGGATAATCCTAGGTAAAAAAATACTAACTCTTGTCTTTGTTGATTTTTTGTGCAAACTTGTCATACTGTAGTTGTTCATTTGAAATATTTTGTAACGTAGAGGGAGGAGCAATCTCTTAGCTATTTTCGAATAGTGCTTAGTCAAAAATATTGTTCATTTACAATTAGCTATTTGTGAGCGTCAAATCTAAGAAGTATTCGGACTTTTCAACAACCGCTTTATAGACAGTTAAAATGAATTGGTCTTTCTCTTATCGAAATTTGCTGATCAACATAAAAGGCATAACCACTTAAATATTGAAGTTCGTATTTTATCGGCAGTTCATTGGTTAACAAATACATTAGTGATGCTACGTTTCTAGCCGTTTCTCTTGTAATAATTACCGCCGAATAATATTCTTTCTTATTGCTTAGTTGTATTTGTAGGGACAAATTATTCACCTGGGCGCTTCGGCTTTATATGCATTATGGAATAAAAGTAAGGAGTAATCACAGAGTTGGAGTGAAACCCCTGGAAGTTTAGCGCTATTTAATTCTAGATATTTCTTTAATAAGTCTAAGAATCGATAAAATAGCCTGCTATTTAGTAAGATTTTTCAACAAGTAACAGTATTACTAATGTTTTGTTTCATCTCCGCGAACAACTACTCTGTCAAATTCAATGAGATCGTAAAAATATGCGATACCATTGAGGTAAAAAATAATTATGATTTAACCCCTAAGTATATACCTTCCTGGGTCTTCTTCAACATCAAACGACAAGAAAAGTTCTTAGCGCTGAAAAAAGCAGAACTGTTATTAGAGCAACTCATCCTCTGTTATAATGGCTTTCAATATCCAACTTATCGAATATTTCAGTTGCTTCTCGACAATTGATATCACTCTTAATCTTTGATCGATTTCATCCAATACTCACCACCATAAGAAATACTAAAATTTCTTAAGATAAGGTGAAACATCTATTGAGTGGAACATTTTTAAAATAAATTTTACTTTACTATGGAAACAATCTTAAGAATAATTTGATTTTTAAACCTCTGAATTCGTGGGTGTGTTTGAACAATGAATACAAGTATTTATAAATTCCCTTTTTTCATTTATACTAAGATCAATATGTTACAGGAAGACTTTTATCGAGAAGTATATACGTAATTTCAAAAATTGAGATCATGAGTCAATTGAAGCTAGACCACCATAAAAAACTTGGAAGCACTGGACGGCCGTTTCGTCATATTGTGGGACTCCTCAACAATGCGCATCCACGAAGTATATATGTAATAAAATTTAGGAAAACATTTAACAATCCTTGATTTTTTTTCACTAGTATCATTTTTTTATTGAAAGAATCCATAAATGATTGTCAGACATTTATTTGGAAAAAATATACTACGGTAAGTCAGAAAATATGTTTTCTATATACAATGAAAATATACATAGAGTTGGTATCCAGTCCTAGGTGTTTCGGTGCTTTATTAGAATTCAACTTTTCGGTTTGTTGTTAGTCAGAAGCACTATTAGATTCATACGCATATCCAAGTAGCATAATTCACGATTTGATGATTAACCAATCAAGTTTCCAACTGTTTGAAAAATCTCCCATGTATACAGTATCTAGGCTTCGCATGTGTACACATTTAACATGGCTTGATATTCCATTTGATTAATAAATTCTGAATCTGACAGTTCGAGGATTGTTTTCATCTTGCTGAAAAAATTCCTTTTGGTTAAGTGGATAAGAGTAGACATCTGATATCTGATTGTTATTTTAAATAATAAAATCTGTGTAATGTCATCCAGGTGAGGTACTATTTTAACTGATTCTTCGATAGAACAAGTAGGCTATAACCAGTACAGGTGTAGCATAGTAAAATAAACGAATAGCTTCACCTTTTGAATTAAATCCAATCTGTAAGAAAAGCAAATAACAGGTCATTATTCATCAACTTTAGCTATCAAGCAGTTTGTTACACGAGAAGTTTAAATATGACTAAATCTATTTGAAATCTAATAATCTGACCATTTTATAGTTGAATTCCTGAGTCGACTGAAGCTAGACCACCATGGAAAACTTGGAAGCACTGGACGGCTGTTTCGTCCTAGCATAGGACTCCTCAGCGGTGCACATCCACGACCCCGCCTCGCGAGATCCGAACCAAGGACCTGTCAGTCTCGCTTGCAAATGCTTAACCTTTAGACCACTGATTATTGTTTATTCTTTCGTTTTGTCTATGTCTAAAAACTGGAAATAAGACGTCTGCTTTTTTTAAACATTATAGATTGCTATTGTTTTTCTTCACTTATTTTTCTCCCGAAGTTAAAGTTTTTCTTTTTTGATGATATCAAGCATGACTTAATACTACAAAGAAAACAGGAATCATTATCAAAACCAGAAATGATAACTAACGTTAGCTGACTTAGTAAAAAAGCGATGGAGTTCCAAAACTAGATTAATAAGTTCTTATTCGTTCTTAAGGATTATTTGAATCTTCTGGTGTTACGAACTGTGGGATAATCGTTCTTGAACAGAACATCTTTGAGCAGATACATAAAGTAGCAATGTTTTTATTTAATTATGTAACAATTATCGATTAACTACAGATAAGTAAAATTACTAATCATGAGATCAACTATCACTGAATCTCAAAGATTATAATTAATCAATTAACTGAACGCTGGTTAAATCATGGAAATGTATATGATATTCAAAAGAATTTGAACACAAAGAATAGTTTATACTCGACATTATTTTCATTACATGTTTTAGATAGACTTAGAGATAGAAATATAATAAATTATAAGTGAAGCTTTTTACTAAGCAGTGACATAGTCTAGACTACTCTCAGGTATTTTGATGAATAAAATTAAAGTTTAACTATCAGCAGGGTGCATTGTTTCATTACATAAACTTTGAAAGTAACTATTCCGTGGGCAAACAAATCAGTTATTAAAAATAATTTCGATTTGACTTTAAGTGTATTTTATCATTATAAGCTACATAATATTAACATTGTATTAAAATTTCATTTTATAGTAAGATTTAATTTTTGGATAAGATTTTTATTCTCATATATAGAAGTTAGGGGATCATGCAAATCCCAGTTACATGCTGAGTAAAAATATAAACTCATATACAGTTTATTTAATTAGTTTACTGAATTCTCAAGTGTCTACATAATGGTAGAAACTATGTTTTGACAGCCTACTGTTAGCTACCATGTTAATTACATATATTTTTAAATTTTTAAAAAAATCAGCCAGAAATTAAGATTTTTTATTCAGACATATGGTTTCTGACAAACTGAGTGTATGAATTTAAAACTGATTTCATTCAGTAATCTAATAGACAATTCTTATTGTTTCTTGTACCTTGTTGATATTTCATTCACTTCACAATTTATGTGAAAATATGAATTTATTTATGTTTAATGATTAGAATGGGGATTTGTAGAGAGTGTAGTAATTTTAATAGTTGGATTCATCAGTCGATCTAAGCTAGACCACCACTGAAACTCTGAAACGACTGGACGGTTATTTCTTTCTAGTATGGGACTTCTCAAAAGTTCATATCCACGGTCCCGAACACAAGACCTTCGGCCTCGCATGTGAACACTTGACCTCTCGATCACTAATCTGGCACCGCGTGGAGACAGTTATCCACCTCTGACAATGGATGAAGGGTTGAGCAAGGTCATGAATCGATTGAAGTCAGACATTAACACAGTTGGATGCCGGCTCAAAATCATTTATTGTCGTATGTCATCACGAATTTTTTTAGTATTTTGTGTAGACACATTTCTCTTGAACTAATGAATCAGTCATTTATGTTTTAGTTTTTCATGTATAGATGTTCTTAACAAGTATATGTGTGGTAAGACTGACTAGGAAATACAAACTAATCACAAAGACAAAGAATTTGTGAAAACAGGTCATCATTGAAACTAGTTTTATTCATAGTGTTATAACTGCTGATGAACCACTGAAAACCTTGGATTGCTAGTTTATAATGGTTCGATGTTCATAATCTAGCTTTCAATAGCAATACTGTATGTGACAAAATGTACTTTCAAAACGGGCCATTTGGCTATATGAATCATTAAACCCCAATACATACAGCTCAGAAAAAATCAGTTATTTTTTAAACAGGGTAGCTAACCTGATGAATTTAGCTCAAAGGAAAGCTTTGAGAATATTTGTATCTAGTACAGTTAAGTTAAATAAAAATATTGATAACTGACCGTACAGTTTGTGTCAAAGTAAAATAAATATACATTCTAGGCTAAATGGATTACGATAGATGTACTATTAAAATCAAAGTTGAGCAATGTAATGAAAGCATGAAAAATTTTGATAACTGTTGAGTAATGAATGGATAAATTGTGAGTTATTCAGCTAAACATTCTACTTTTATTTAATGGGTTATATTTTCAATCAGTATATAGTCGAAACATTAGATTAACTTCCATAATTGGATGGAAAAACATTAACAGTATTATTTATGTAAACCATATCAACTTACTTTACAACTCAGATAATCAGAATGTTGGAATGTCCCAGGTGAATTTGAAAATGTTTTCATCATGGCCAATTCGTTTGAATAGGATAGACCATCAAGAGGATACGAAAATCTTCCATTAATTTCATCTCCTATATCAGCCAATTCCTTTGCCAAGGCATTAACCAAGCTCCATTTACGCTCAAGTTTGTATGATGTGGAAGTTGTACTAATCTTGTGTTCCATTCTCTGTAAATTACAAGAAAGTAGTTCGGATAAAGCTTACTCATGCAGAATTACTTCAATATTAAAATATTACAAGTTACCGAAAAGAAAGACTGTTAAAATGTGTTTATCCAAAGGAAAGTTTTATTGGAATATATATTTTTTTGTAAAAGCAGCCAAAAATACGCAAAAAATTTTGGTGAAGTGGTCTTATGGATTTATCATACCTATCAGTATAGTTTAAACATGAGTGCTGCGAAATATATAGATACAGAGTTAAGTAAATGAGTTTCATATAGTCCTAGTGTGTTTTACATTTGATCCATCAATAAAATAATTAGGATAAACTATTATTCTGCTAGTAATATAAGATTAACAGATGGTCAACCGAGAGCTAAAAGTTAGTTTTATCCAAAATATTTGAGTAAAACAGGTCAGACAAATTTGTTAACCAAGTGGTTTTATTGGATCTAGTTCGTCAGAGGAAGAATTGAGTGCAATGTTATCGTCAGCTTGTTAAACTTTATTGAGTTTCAAAATTCACTTATTAGTTAGTAGGAGTAAACTTAATTAAAAACATCACCACCACTTAGTTGTAGAAGAGACGTTGTTAGTCAGGAAATTCTGTTGTTACTAATAGCGTTCGAAACCTGACAGGTTCAATAACCTATATGTCGGTATCCCAGTATACCTTATATAGAAACAACTGTGTCCAATCATTTATAATAAGCAATTAAAATATTTTATACTAAAAAAGCATAAAATGAATAATTGTGTTATACTTTAATTTAAAAAGTTTCATGATGCTCAATAATCATAGCTGGAACCGATGAATATAAAAACATAGTAGTCCACTGTCATAGTCTCTGTACATTTTTATTAGTCCACTTCTAAATTATTCCAGTTGTCAATTGTGTATTATTAAAGCGGTCTACATCACAAGATCCAAAATTATTAAATTCCAAACATTTATTCATCTATTCAACCACTAATATTCATTTTAAAGTGACTAAATGAACAAATGATCAGTATATTAAATTTTTCCTTCACCTAGTCTCCCTTCAGTAATACGATCATAAAAGATCAGGGATGAAAATTTTTCAGTCTTTCTATTGATTAGTCAGACAGAAATCTCATTCTATTGGTCAAAAATGATCCAAGGTCAAATGATAAAGTCTATGACCGTGTATATGGATCAAGAGTCAAATAAGGTCAATTTTTAGACTAACCTATCAATGGGATACCATGATCTAAAATAAACAGTCATAAAAATGAGGAACATTGTCTATGTCTAATTGGTGAAAATAACAACAAAAAATGACACAAAATACTTGGCCAATGCAGTCATTAGAACTTATTAAATGGCTGGACAATTAATCGATTTACCCGCCCAATATATATATATATATATATATATATATATATATATATATATATATATATATATGATCTGTTTATATGATGTTAAATAATTGATCAATAAACTAATATGTTGTCATGGTATCGGTCCAATTTAACACAAACAAAAATGTCAGCAAAATAGTTAGTAACCTTGAATTTATAAAAATCGATTGAAATAATTAAGTAAATATAATAAAAAAAGTAGTCGCTAGACTACTTGTTCTCCCAAAATCTGATGTAATTCAATTATAATCAGAGAGGGGTCTTGTGGATATCATAATAATTTATAGTTGAATTCATGAGTCAATTGAAGCTAGACTACCATGGAAAAATTGGAAGTACTGGACGACCGTTTCGTCCTAGTATGGGACTCTTCAGTAATTAGCTATAGAATCTTACAAAATATGAATCGATTTTTATTTCTCTTTCTTCAGATATGTGTTGTCAGAGTAGATAATTTTTCGGATGTTGAGTTAAACATTGTGTTAAATTTGTTTGTTTGTATCGAAGATTTATGGATTTCAAGTAATGTATGTGGTAATTAGGTGTATTTATTTATTTCGTATCCCATTATTTAGTCTGGATTTCTGGAATGAAATATTTTCTTTTAACCATTCGTAGTGGTAAGTTTGATTGATTGTTAAACTCTTCAGAATCTAATTTTGTCATTACTGCCGAAACTGTCTTTTTACTAAGGAAACTTAAATTTTTGAATAACGATTAGTATAGGAATCCAGGACATGATATTCATGCTATTAAGGACTAGCCGACAAGTTGTTCAAGTAGAGACTTATAACTATATCCAAGACGAGGCGTCCATTCTGAGATCCAATACACCAAATGTTATCTATTAAATCCTAACGTCATTGAAAATTTTTACAAATGACAACAATGTTAATGCTATCCGTTTTATTGAAATCATACGAAATTCATTTGACATTATACATATAATTAGATATCTGGGAAAGTTTTTGATGTAGGACATAAATAATACAAAGTTTGAAACTATTGATTCTATTGTTTGATTCAAATTGCTTGAATAATCAAGCAAACTGAATCTACACTTTACGAACAATGATCTCTTAGATCGATGAACAATGTCATACTTATTAAGGTGTCAATGTGTAACTGTAAGATATCCTTCTTAGAGTTACTGTTTAGTTAAAAGATTATGATTATTCATCAATTATTAAATACAAACAACTCAGTGATTATAAGCAAAGATGGATAGTGGCTAGCAGTGGAATCCAGGATGGGAGTTTCGTCCTGTTTGGGATTCGTCAGCTGGATGTACCTGCATCTCAGAGTTGATGTTCACTCTGGGACTCGAACTCAGTACCGTTCGCTTCAAACGCTATCTCGTTATCCACTTAGCTACTGAGATTCAAGTAAAAACAATATCAAGTGAATTAAGCTCAGTGATTATTTATTTTCAATATAAACCTTTATTTCTACACTGAATACTATAAAGGAGCCGAATTTCATTCAAAATTAACAGTTTAACTTATCATTTAAAATAACATATATTTTAATGTAATTATATAACTTACGTGGTATTTTTTAGCAGAATTCACCTATAATGTATTACTAGAATTAAACTGATGTCTTTTATATGAAATTATTTATTGCCTCCTTTTATTAAGATGCTTCTGTCTATAAAACTAAAATGAGTAGATGTAAACCTAGTGGTATATTGGTTTAAATCAACAAATAAGGTTACAAGGTGGTAGACAATAAAAAAAATATTCTATTAACCGACTGTGTGTTGTTAATAGTTATTAATAATGTCTGAAATTTGCAAATCAGGGTGAAAAAAAAATTTTTTTTTCGGAACATAATTATTTTAAGAATATGTGGCAATAAACTAGATAACAAATTCTCATAAAAATAAATGAGTTAGGATAGAGACTTACTTACAAACTTAATCAGTAAATGTTCTGATTGGTTAGTTATAAACTTGCGATTTTTACACAATTGGGTTAGAAGGTCAATAAAATTTGCGGCTTCTGTTAAATTTTTCATTTACAGTAAGGGGTGATATATATATATAGGAAGGTAGAGGATTTAACTATCTGAGTCTTTTTATTCTGAAATGTTGGTTTATGTCAAATTTTGTTTGTTTTGTGTACCCTTCTTTCTTCCCCTTCTGTTACATCTCATAATAATAATTATTATTATTTGGTGCATCCATTCAGAAAGTAGAACTGTCCATTTAACACAAGGTTATCATGATTGTATTTTTAAGGGGCAGTTTTCTTTTTGTAGAAAGATCGTATACTGTTGAAATTTTAAAAAAGTAAACAAACTTCATAGTACCTTAACCATTTACTCAGTTTATAATTTCTAGATTTCCTGTTATCCAAGGTAAATTATTACAACAATACTATTTGCATAAATCTTAACTACATAGATTTTCCCTGCACTTAGTTAGGATGTTTACAGGTTTTTGTAATGTATTTGTCCAAATATTTTCAGAATGTATTTAATATTTCTGCAGAACTATGTAATTACGTTGAATTATGCAAATGGATTAGTTAATAATGGTATTTTATATTACAGTTTAATTTTAGTGGTGTTGAATTCCCCAAGCTAGATGGTTTAAATGAGGAGCATTCATTGCTATTCTGATTAACATTTTCAGAGTCTATTTCATTCAAAGGAGAGCTGTTCAGTTATTTCACAAGTGTTATATTGGTTCATTCCAATGATTATTTTAACTAGTAGTATAGGGATCTGAGTATGCTATAGTAGGATTGCGATACATATAGATTGTGAAAATGAAGAAAATGTAAATAAGTATAATTTTTATCTTCAAAAATTGGTTCATATAATATTTATTTTAAGCCTATTTTCGTACGAACACATTCCTTGTTTCGTTAATTTCAGGTCTTTGTATTATTTTGACTGCTCACAGTTTCAAGAGATTGACATTTATTTGATATTCCATTTAGTCATGCCTTTTTAAATGATCGTTTTCGTGGTGTAGCACTTATACATAATCTTTTTACTCCTAACTATGGAATTATAATCTACCTAAAGTAATCAGTATTTTATTTAATTATCCAATATGAAAATGTGACGTATATAAACAATTTGACAATATTTAGTACACAATAGTTTTAAACTATAAAGTTTACGATCATTTTATTGATAACTGCGGACATGAACTGTAAGTTGAATATCCGGGAAACGGGCTGAAGTAGTTGAGCTTTAAAAATACAGAAAGTTATTCTGTAAATATTCAGGATATTTGTTTTCTTCTAAGAGTACTGGAACCTGTGTCATTTATAAATCATTTTATTTCTATCAGATGGGTTTTGTGGATATTAATCAACATATGCTCACTAGTGACTGGTTTCAAGAGGTATATTCTGGAGTTTTAGTGAGAAGCAGTGACCAGTGGAGTTCAACCAGGTCTGTTGTGAGACAATAACTCACTGAAGACAATGAGGGATGTGTCGCTCAGTTTCGTGTATTAGTTGAAGTTAGACATTACCATGGTTGGATGCCGGCTCAGTGGTTTAGTTGCGAAGTGCTCGCATGAGAAAGCTATAGGTCCTGGGTTCGAATCTCGCAGGGGGCGAGGTCGTGTATTTGCACTACTGAGGAGTTCGACAATA